CATCCTGCCTCTGGCCTAGGTGTCCTGGGGTAGCCATACACTACCCCACCTCTCTCCTCCAGTCTCCTCATTAGGGGCTGTGATTTCTCACCCTCTGCCATTGCTCCCACATCCTGCTCTCCCTCTGCCTGGCCTCAGTGCTGGTGCTGCCCTGAGCTCTTCTGGAGTCAGCCTTTCCAGGTCCTGGAGCACTGCCTCAGGCTAAGAAAGATGCAGAAGCTCTCAGTCCCAGGGTCTTCTTTGCCCAGAAACCTTATGGCCATTAATTGGACCAGGGAAACTCTGAGCTCAAAACTGCACAATTGTCTCTGAATAGCTCAACTTCAATTTGGCAGGGTCAGGTGAGAGAACATGGGCGGGGCCAGGCCTCAGTGGGGCCCAGTCCTCAGGGAGCAGAGGCCACACCCAGGAAGCTTCAGCCTGGAGGAGCAGGGCTCCCACAGTGTGCTGGAACAGAGGCTTGTTCATCAGAACACTGCATGTACATTTGTGTAGCCAGTCTGTGCATGTGAGTGTTGTGTGGACACAGGTGGTTTGTGGGTGTCTGGGCGGGCAGGTAGATGTCTGGAGAGGTGTGAGTGGTATGTGTGTGATTAGGTGTGTGAGGAGTCTGACATGGAAAGTGTGCTGTGGGAGGATAGGGGACAGGAATGCATGGTTTGGAGAAGAGTTTGGGGGTCCCTAATGGGGACACTTGTATCTCCTTAGGAAGAGTTACTCAGCTGGAAATGTAATGTGATTGGCGAGTAGGGCTGGGGGTGTGGGGAAGGGTCAGGATGAGAAAACATCATCAGAGCCCTGCTGCAGGACACACCCTGGTGCATTCCTCCAGACAGAGAGAAAGACCCACAGACTACACACAGGCCACGTGCCCACACTCTTGCTGAGAGCACAGGGAGCCCTGGGGCCAGCAGGCCATCACCAGGCCTGGCCCTTGGGCGGCAGGAGCTGTGAGGCCCAGTGAAGCTCTTGGTGTGGACAGCAGCCTGCCTTGGGCATTCCATGAGGGCGCTGCCGGGTCTGCCCTGCTCCCTGCTGTCCCAGTAGGGAGGGACAGAGACCTCTGCAGTTGTCCCAGCCTGGGAGCTGCCGTGGCCCCGCCCAGCACCATGGACACCTGCCCAGGTTGATTCCTGGCAGAGACAAATGTCAGCCTCAGCTAAGGGACCCTCCCAGGTTGGTTAAATGCCCAGTCCAGTCCTGGCACTGGAGTGGAGGAAACCAGGGAGCTTGGAGGCCGCCATGGGGCTGCTCACAGGGGTAGCACTGTGGGCCGTGGCCGTGGCCGTGGCCATCTTCCTGCTCCTGGTGGACCTGATGCACCGGCGCCAGCGCTGGGCTGCTCACTACCCACCGGGCCCTGTGCCTCTGCCAGGGCTGGGCAACCTGCTGCAGATGGATTTCCAGAACCTGCCATACTACTTCTACAAGGTGAGGAGCAGGTGGTGGGCAGCAGAGGGCACCTGGAGCCCCCAGTGCCAGTGCTGGGAAGCCACAGGCCGCACAGGGAGCTGAGCCCCAGAGGCTGAGAGGCTCCCTGGGGAGGGCACTGCAGGGCCTGAGGACAGTCTGGGCTTTCCAAGACCAACGTGTGGCGGGGCAAAGGCCGGGGGTGACACACGGCAGCAGGTTTGGGATGCAGGTGCCAGAGCAGACCTGCCTGACCACCAGGTCTTTCCTGGATATCAGGGCTGAGGCTCTGGGAAGCCTTTCAGTTGTTGGTCAGGTGGCCCCTGACCTATGGTGCTCCCTATGTTCTTAGGGTCCTGCTTGTGGGGTCACACTCCCTGTGGAAGTCTGTGCTCCTGCACAAAGGAATGCTAAGAGCTCCTGTGGCAGTCTTGGGTTTCTGTGGAGCTCACAGCCAGTGGGCTTTGCAGGGAGGTCTTCCTGAGCACGGAGGGTGTGGCCTCCAGCATCCCAAAGCCAGGCCCCTCCTGACCCTGCTTGATTGCACTGGGTGCCCAAGACCCAAGGGTCTTTGAACCAGGGCCCTGTCTGATGAGAACGCCGGGCTCCCCGCAGCTGCAGCGCCGCTTCGGGGAGGTGGTCAGCCTGCACATGGGCTGGAGTCCAGCGGTGGTGGTGAACGGGCTGGAGGCCGTGCGTGAGGCGCTGGTGAAGCACAGCTTGGATACCGCTGACCGCCCGCCCATGCCCATCTATGAACACGTGGGCTTCGGACCCAGATCTCAAGGCAAGGGGCGGCAGGGGCAGTGGCCTCGGGACTGACCTGGGGACAGTGACCAGAGGACAGGGGCCTGTGAAGAGGACAGAGGGACGGGGCTCAGGGGAAGCAATCAGAAGCAGGCAGGAAGGGAGCAGGTGAGGGAAGAGTGGATGAGGCCAGGGTGACCTGCATTCATTCCAGGAAGGCAGGGGAGGAATCTGATTGGGGGAGGGAAGGAAGGACTCCCAGCTCACTGATTGGAGGTGGGGTTCCGGTCACAAGGCTGAGTGGTGGTGAGGCAGTGCCTGGGAGGTGTTCAGGTCAGGGATTGGAAGCACAGCTAGAGTCACACCCACGTCTCCACTCCCACCGGCCCCCCTTCCCAGGGGTTATAATGGCCCACTACTGCCATGCCTGGCGCGAACAGAGGCGATTTTCCATGTCCACCTTGCGCAACTTCGGCCTGGGCAAGAAGTCGCTGGAGCAGTGGGTGACCCAGGAGGCCGGCTGCCTCTGTGAGGCCTTCGCTGACCACTCCGGTGAGCCGTGTTGGTGGGGAGCAAGGGAGGAGGGACACAAGCACAACTGAGGCAGCCAGAGGCAAGAAGAGAGATCTTACTTACTGCTCCCAGGTCGGCCGTTCAGCCCCAAGACTCTCCTGAACAAAGCCATGTGCAATGTGATCGCCTCCCTCATCTTTTCCCGACGCTTCCAGTACAATGCCACCTCCCTGGACAGAATGCTGGAGCTGTTGCAGCACAGTCTGAAGGAGGAGTCCAGCATCATGCGCATGGTGTGGACACAGGGGCTGTGCAGGGCCAGCTCCTGCAGCTGGAGCTCCAGGGGAAGGGTTTGCATGCCATGGCATGGGGAGAGGGCATGGGGAGAGGTCACAGGTCAAGCCTAGATCTGGGGAAACTGAGTCAACAGGCATGACAGAAGGGACTTGGGAGCAGAAGGCTCTGGAGAGTGACCACCTGTGTCCCCCTGTGCCTGGAGCCAGAGAAAGCAAGGAGGCTGCCTCTGGGGAGAGGAACAGGCGACAGGTGGGGACAGGCAGAGGATGTGTACATCTGGAGGTGGCAGGATCAGAGAATGGTGCAGGTGTACAGTGAAAACAGAAGGACTCTTCCCATCTGTGCTCTCTCACAGTTGCTGAATGCAGTCCCCGTGCTCCTTCGCATCCCCGGGCTGCTTGGGAAGTTCTTCCCTGCACAGAAAGCCTTCATGGCCCTGCTGGATGAGCTGCTGGAAGATCACAAGATGAGCCGGGACCCCTCTGAGCCACCCCGAGACCTGACCGACACCTTCCTGGCTGAGGTGGAGAAGGTGCGCTCTGACCACCCTGCCCCACAGACTGGCCAGGGCCAGGGCTTCAGGGTGCTGTGGAAGGGAGGCCGGGCTCCAGGCTGGAGGAGACAGTGGAGGCTGTCTGGAGCCTTGTCCTCTGCTGCCTGAGCCCAGAACCCCCTTGTCTTTGCACAGGCCAAGGGGAACCCCGACAGCAGCTTCAATGAGGACAACCTGCGCATGGTGGTGCTTGACCTGTTCACTGCAGGGATGGTGACCACCTCCACCACGCTGTCGTGGGCCCTGCTGCTCATGATCCTGCACCCGGATGTGCAGTGTGAGCCCAGCTGGGACTGGAGGGGAGAGGGAGGGAGGAAAAGTGGAATCAGGGTGTAGGCTTCACTTCAGCGGGAGTCATGATGACCTCACCTGGTCTCAGTTCTTCACACAGAGGCCGGGGCAGGTGGGCACAAGTCTGGGCACTGACTGCGGTGTCTCTGCTCGCCACGCAGGCCGCGTGCAGCAGGAGATCGATGAGGTGATCGGGCAGGCGCGGTGGCCAGAGATGGGGGACCAGGCCCGCATGCCCTTCACCTGCGCGGTGATCCATGAGGTGCAGCGCTTTGCTGACATTGGCCCCTTGGGGGTGCCGCATATGACATCACGGGACATTGATATCCGGGGCTTCCTCATCCCCAAGGTAAGTCCTAGCATGCTAGAACAGACCAGTGATCATGCAGCTGCCATCCACAGCTTGGTCCTGTATTCTGTGCAAGTAATACAATTGAGGACCGCCATGTTATAATCTTCGGGGTGAGGGATGCAGGAGGTAAGTTCAGCTCTTTGCTCAGTATCTTTTGGGCCAGGAGAAAGTAGACTGGCAGGGCCATGAAAGGGTCCCCATACAGGGATTGGGGGTGCCTGGGGGCTCCCTACACAAATGTGTCCTCTGCCTGCTGTGGGCGCAAGGGCGGTGCCCCAGAGCTGTGTGAGGCTCGGGATTAGGTGAAGGGACACACACAGCCCAGGGCAGTGGCTGTGTATCATGCGTGATGGTCGGGTGTCCTGAGCCTCTGTCACCATGCCCGCACCAGGGCACCACGCTCCTCACCAACCTGTCGTCAGTGCTGAAGGACGAGCGCGCCTGGGAGCAGCCCTTCCGCTTCCACCCTGCACACTTCCTGGACGCCCAGGGCCGCTTTGTGAAGCCTGAGGCCTTCATGCCCTTCTCAGCAGGTGCGTGGGGGCCTGGCTCCCTGTGCCCTCCCTGGGGTGACAGGCTGGCTGGGAGGTGGCCCCCAGGCCGCTGCTGAACGTCCCCACTCCCTGTTCCCAGGCCCCCGCACGTGTCTGGGGGAGCCCCTGGCGCGCATGGAGCTCTTCCTCTTCTTCACCTGCCTCCTGCAGCGCTTCAGCTTCTCGGTTCCCGCAGGCCAGCCCCGGCCCAGCACCATTGGCGTCTATGGAACTGTGGTGATGCCAGCCCCCTACCAGCTGTGCGCTGTGCCCCGCTAGAGGCCACCAAGTCCCCACTCCACCCCAGCGGCACAGCTGTGCCCAACATCGCACGTGCTGGCTCTAACCAGAACCCCCAGGACCGCCCCCTTTCCTACCTGTGTGTCACCTCTGCACCCTAATGGTGCTATGTCAAACCTCAACAGCCCCCTTTGCATCACCCGCAATCTTCCCGGGACACAAGGCTTTCTGCCCAAGTCATGAGCAGAGCCTTCCATGGCGCCTGTGTCAGGAGGAGGTATCAGTGCTCTGGGTGAAGGAGGGGGGTTGGATGCATCTGGACACCCTATTTCAGCCCCATCCCAAATACCCGGATACTGAAGCAGGAAGAAGCCTCTCAAACAACGCCACTCTGTCTGGTTTCTTTCTTGATGGGCAGGAGGGGCAATACTGGGTTTGAATTCCAAGCCATGAATCTGCTGGGCAGGGCCTCTGCCCCTCAAGCTATGCACCCAGCCCCAACTTCTTACCTGAGACCCCAAAGAAGTGAGTACATCAGGAAGGCAGGAAGTGGGTCAGCATTCACATCCACAGTTAGCTATCCAGAGCCAAAGTCTCCCTGGCAAGGACTAATGGGAACCAACAGGAAGCCACCTCAACTACACCGGCCGGAAAATTGTCCAGGGCAGGAAATGGAGACCTGTGGGCTGAGGCCCTAGGGAGGGCTTGACCTTGTGCAATGATGGGGACAGAGAAGGTGATGGTTTGGAGAGAGAGACAGAGACAGAGACAGAGAGAGACAGAGAGAGAGAGATCCCATTTTCTGTGTCAGGATACTTGGGCTTTTGGTTTCCCCTTCTATGATGAGAAAACCACAGCTCCTGTCTTTCTGCTCCAATTTCTAAGGCTGTGATCCTGGCTGACCTAGATCCTCACGGAGGGTAGATGTAGGGATTAATGTGGAGAGGACCCCATTTAAGGAACCTGGACAGAGCAACAGCAATGGCAGGTGGGCTGCAGGTGAGCTTCATGGGCAGAACAGCCCTGGAGGAATGAAGAGGCAAGCCCGGCCCATGAAATGGGTCAGGGGCAAGATAGGAATGAAAACTGGGCTGGTAAGTAATATCCTGCCCAAGGAAGTGATCTGATCTGAGAAAGAGACAGCCAGTCAATTGGGTCTACAAAAAGACAGAGGGAGGCTGGGAAGGTGGCTCAGAGGTAGAGTGCTGGCCTTGCATGCCATGAGGTGCTGGGTTCGATTCCTCAGTACCACATGAGCAGAAAAAAGCTGGAAGTAGTGTTGTGGCTCAAGTGGTAGAGTGCTAGCCTTGAACTGAAGAGCTGAAGGACAGCTCCCAGGCCCACAGTTCAGGGTTTATGACCTGAAAGAGAGAGAGAGAGAGAGAGAAACACCTCTAAGTCTAGAAAAGCCTTTCCCAACCCCACATCGCTACAGCCACAGCCCTGCCTTCACCCCGCCTGCCAGCCCCAGGCTGCTGTGGCACAGCCCTAGGAAACACTTGCTTCCTCTTATTGTCCTAGCTTGAAAATTATTGCACCAACCCGTGTACTTAAAACAGAGCCAAACTGAAATGTTTGGTTTTGTTGTTTTGCATTGTAAGGATAGGGGCAGATTCTCTATGACATGAGCCATTCAAACCTGATGTCTTTTTTAGCGGGGGTCCAGTCATGGGGCCTGAACTCTGGGCCTGGGCGCTGTCCCTCACCTTTTCAGCTCAAGGCTAGCGCTCTACCACTTGAGCTACAGCTCCACTTCCTGGTTTTTTTTTTTTTCACTTATGTGCTGCTGAGGAATCGAGCACAGGGTCTCATGCATGCTAGGCAAGCGCTCTATCACTGAGCCACTTTCCTAGACCCAAACCTGAGGTCTTGAGAGGGATAAAAGTTAACATTCCTGGGGGTTGGGAAGGTGGCTCAGTGGTAGAGTGCTTGCCTTGCATGTCTGAGGCCCTAGGTTCGATTCCTCAGAACCACATAAGCAAAAAGAAAAAAGCCAGAAGTGGCGCTGTGGCTCAAGTGGTAAAGCGCTAGCCTTCAGCTGTAGAGCTGAGGGACAGCGCCCAGGCCCAGAGTTCAGGCCCCGTGATGGGACCCGAAAAAAAAAAAAAAAGTTAACATTCCTGAACCAAGAAGAGAGGGAATCTAAAAAAAAATTCCAAAGTACTACTACTAAATTCTCAAAAAAGAAAATGCTGAGTGGGGCCCTGGTGGCTCCCACTGTAATCCTAGATACTCAGGAGGCTGAGATCTAGGTTTGAAGCCAGCCTGGGCAGAAAAGTCCCTGTGAGACTCTATCTCCAATTACCCACCAAAAACCGGAGGCGGTGCGTTCCCTTAAGTGGTGGAGCATTAGCCTGGAGCACAAAGAGGTTCAGGACAGCTCCTGGGGCCTGAGTTCAAGCCCACAACTGACGCCCCCCCCCAAAAAAAGAAAAAGAGTCTCATGGAATTTCTGCCTGTGCTGGCTTCAAACTGTGATCTTTAGATCTTAGCCTCCTGAGTAGCTAAAATTATAGGGGGGAGCCTGAAGGGCCTAGCTGAAGAGCTGTTTAAAAGAGAGATTTGATTTTAAAAAAGGAATCAAAGTTGAACTTAATGACCTCTAATGCATTTGCACACAAGAGTTTCTTATGATGTCTGAATGATCAGTGCCAAAAATGTACCCCAGGGCTCTGCTAGATAACAAGTAAGTCCCCAAAGCACAGGACAGGCATCTGAGAGCCTGTGCGGCTCTGTCCTGGCACTGGGGGCGCTGCCAGTCTGCTCCCTTCCCTCCAGAGTTTCCTCCTCTGTAGAGTGGCAGTGCTGGTTGCTGGGGCCTTTAGTGCCAGCAGCTGCTCCCAACATGTCCCTCCCTGCACCCCGCCTCCCATGGTGTTCTGGCACAGGTTGTGGGGCCTGGGCTCTGTCAACCCCAGTGGGTCACCACTGCCCCATTCACCTCTGACTGTGGAGGACCGGGCCAGGAGTCACTTGTTCATGTGGGTTTGGTCTGAGCACTACAATAGACAGACAGCCCATGCTGGGGACGGGGGGGGGGGGGCAAGGGGTCGGAATTGGGAAAGGGTGTGTGGAATCATGGAGCAGGACCAGGGGAGAGGATCAGCTCTGCTTTGACACTTTTCCAGAGAAATGGGATTCCAGCAGAACCCCCCTTTCACATGTCCTCTTGGTATATGCCTAGGTGGGTGAAGATGATAGACGAATGGGTATACATACATACATACATACAATACAGATGGATGGATTGATCCATAGATCACAGATAACATAATCCCTATACAGCTTCAAGTGAAGCTGGCCCAGCCTCCAGGCCCCAGCCCAGAAGACACTACCCGTTTTGATTTCTCAGCAGTCTCAGTTAAGCCCCATGTTCCCCACAGACTTTTAGAATTAGTAGTACCTTGCTCCTTCAGGTTGGTGATGATGGAAAACTTTCAATGTGATGTCATTGCGTTTTTTTTTTTCCTTGTTCAATATCAGGGGAATTGAACTCAAGCTGTCTACCACTTGAGCCATGACTACAGTCCTGTGTTTTCAAATGTTCACTTTTTGTTTTTTTTTTTGTTTTTGGTCAAGTTGGCTGTTATGGGCGCTGTCTCTCAGCTCTTCAGCTCAAAGCTACCGCTCCACCCACTTGAGCCACAGCACCACTTCTGGCTTTTTCTGCTTCTATAGTGCTAAGGAATCACACTTCACGCATGCTAGGCAAGCGCTCTAACACTGAGCCACTTTCCCAGCCCCCAATGTTCACATTTACAATACACCACAAATTACAACCTTTTAACCCCTTGAACCTTGCTGTAAAAGAGAGATTGCTAGACGTGGTGGCACACTCCTATAATCTCAGCAGTCAGGGGACTGAGGCAGGCAGATTGCAAATGTGAGGCCAGCCTGGGCCAAATGGTGAGAACCTGACTCAAAATCCGGTCAAAGGCAGGTGCTGGTGCTCAAGCCTGTAATCCTAGTTATCCAGGAGACTGAGATCTGAGGATCATGATTTGAAGACAGTCCAAGCAGAAAAGTCCTCCATACTCTTCTGTCCAATAAGCCTCCAAAAGAAAAAACAAAAACCAGAACGTGGTTCAAATGGTAAAGCACTAGCCTTGAATAAAATAAAAAAAGAAAAAGAAAAAAGAAAAGAAAAAGAAGACCTTAGGGACAGAGTCGAGGCCCTGAGTTCAAAATAAATAAAACATCAACCAACAAAGATATTAGATACTACCTTGAAATTTAGAAAAGACATGTAATTCTACCAAAGGTATCCTAGCAAAAATCTGATCTTCTCCCTAGCGTACTGTGTGATTGTGTGAACTCTGTCCTTTAGTGTTGTGTGGTTGTGTGATCTCAGCCCTGGGTTTTTGTGTGGCCGTGTGATGTCTCCCCTGGGGTGTCATCTGGTTGTGTGATCCCTACCTTGGGGTGCTCTCTGGTTATGTGATGTCTGCCCTGGGTGTTTGAGGTTATATGATCTCTGACCTGGAGTGCTATGTGGTTGTGTGCTATATGGTTGTGTGTTGTGTCATCTGTTTGTGTGATCCCTACCCTGGGGTGTTCTCTGGTTGTGTGAGTTCTACCTGGGGTGTTCTCTGGTTGTGTGATGTCGGCCCTGGGGTGTTTTGAGGTTGGGTGACCTCAGTGATAGGCTGTGTGATCTCTACTCTAGGGCAGGGGTGGCTGTTTGGTCCCTGGCCTAGGGTATTATGTGGTTGTTTTTCTCTGCCCTGGGGTGTTGTGTGGGTGTGTGACCTCTGCCCTGAGATTTGTGTGGTTGTGTGATCTCCATCTGGAAGAGTTGTACAGTGTGTGACCTCTACCCTAGAGCAAGAGTGGTTGTGTGATCTCTACCCTAGTCAGTAGTGGTTGTGGAGGCTTTGGTTGGTCTAGGTGTTAGGATGGAGAATAGACTTTAGACTGAGAACTGGGTTCAAACCCCCAGTTCACTCTGAGAGGGCAGAAAGGGCCTTAGAGCAGCCTTGGCTTTGAGCAATGTCAGGCAGGGCTATGGCAGGCTTTGGTGTTTGATAACCCAGGGGGAGAGCTGAAGACCTGGGAAGTCTCCTCCAGAAGAATCCAGACTCAGTCCAAGGCTGGAGCAGGCAGGCAGTGCTTGATGCAGGAGGGATGGCCCCCTGCCAGGTCTGCCTGCTCCCTGCTGCTCTGAATAGCAATGGGAGAAGGACAGAGACCTCTGCAGTTGTCCCAGCCTGGGAGCTGCCCTGGCCCTGCCCAGCACCATGGACGCCTGCCCAGGTGGATTCCTGGCAGAGACAAAGGTCAGCCTCAGCTAAGGGACCCTCCCAGATTGGTTCAGTGCCCAGTCCAGTCCTGGCACTGGAGTGGAGGAATCCAGGGAGCTCGGAGGCCGCCATGGGGCTGCTGACAGGGGAAGCACTTTGGGCCGTGGCCGTGGCCGTGGCCATCTTCCTGCTCCTGGTGGACCTGATGCACCGGCGCCAGCGCTGGGCTGCTCACTACCCGCCGGGCCCTGTGCCTCTGCCAGGGCTGGGCAACCTGCTGGAGATGGATTTCCAGAACTTGCCATACTGCTTCTACAAGGTGAGGAGCACACAGAGCCAGTGCTGGGAAGCCACAGGCCGCGCAGGGAGCTGAGCCCCAGAGGCTGAGAGGCTCCCTGGGGAGGGCACCGCAGGCCCTGATCACAGTCTGGGCTTTCCAAGACCAACGTGTGGCGGGGCAAAGGCCGGGGTGGCACCGGGCCCTGTCTGAGGAGAACGCCGGGCTCCCCGCAGCTGCAGCGCCGCTTCGGGGAGGTGGTCAGCCTGCACCTGGGCTGGAGGCCAGTGGTGGTGGTGAACGGGCTGGAGGCCGTGCGCGAGGCGCTGGTGAAGCACAGCGAGGACACCGCTGACCGCCCGCCCATGCCCGCGCTGGAACACCTGGGCTTCGGACCCAGATCTCAAGGCAAAGGGCGGCAGGGGCGGCAGCCTGGGGACTGACCTGGGGACAGTGACCTGAGGACAGGGGCCCTGGGAGGTCGGAGGGCGGGGCTCGGGAGGGAGGACAGGGAGCAGGTCTGGAAGGCAGTGGGCGTGGCCAGGACACACCTGCAGCGTGTGGGAGGCGGGGCAGGAATGTGATTGGAGGAGGGACGGCCCGAGTCACGCCCAGGTCGCTGATTGGTGGATAGGCGGTGCCTGGGTCCTGTCTAGGTCACGGATTGGATGTGAGTCTGGAGCCAGTTCCCCGCCCCCTCTCTTCAGGGCTGATCATGGCCCGCCACAGCCGCGCCTGGCGCGAACAGAGGCGGTTTTCCATGTTCACCCTGCGCAACTTCGGCCTGGGCAAGAAATCGCTGGAGCAATGGGTGACCCAGGAGGCCGGCTGCCTCTGTGAGGCCTTCGCTGACCACTCCGGTGAGCGTTGGCAGGAGGGACACAGCAAAACGAGGAAGGGGGTGGGGGGGGCTGGGGGGGCTGAGGGGAGGTCAATGCATTGATGTCATTACTGCTCCCAGGTCACCCGTTCAGCCCCAAGGCTCTCCTGAACAAAGCCGTGTGCAACGTGATCGCCTCCCTCATCTACGCCCGCCGCTTCGAGTATGATGACGCCTCCCTGGACAGAATGTTGGAGCTGTTGTATGGCACTCTGAAGGAACCGTCCGGCCTCATACCCATGGTGCGGACTCAGAATCCTCTGCAGGGCCAGCTCCTGCAGCTGGAGCTCCAGGGAAAGGGTTTGTATTCGATGGCATGAGGAGTGGGCATGAGGAGAGGTCAGAGAAGGTCAAGCCTAGATCTGGGGAAACTCAGACAACAGGCCTGAGAAGGGACTTAGGGGTCATAGAGCTCCAGAGAGTGACCACCTGTGCCCCATGTCCCTGTTGGAGCCAGAGAGAGCAAGGAGGCTGCCACTGGGGAGAGGAAAAAGTGACACGTAGAGTTAGGGATGGTCTGTGTGGTCCTTCCTGGAGGTCACAGGATCAGAGAACGGTCCAGGTTTACACTGAACACAGGACTCCTCCCTTCTGTGCTCTCACAGTTGCTGAATGCAGTCCCCGTGCTCCTGTGCATCCCCGGGCTGTTTGGGAAGGTCTTCCCTGCATATAAAGCCTTCACGGCCACACTGGATGAGTTGCTGGCAGAGCACAAGATGACCCGGGACCCCGCTGAGCCACCGCGAGACCTGACCGACGCCTTCCTGGCTGAGGTGGAGAAGGTGCGCTCTGACCACCCTGCCCCACAGACTGGCCAGGGCCAGGGCCTGAGGGTGCTGTGGAAGGGAGGCCGGGCTCCAGGCTGGAGGGGACAGTGGAGGCTGTCTGGAGCCTTGTCCTCTGCTGCCTGAGCCCAGAACCCCCTTGTCTTTGCACAGGCCAAGGGGAACCCCGACAGCAGCTTCAATGAGGACAACCTGCGCATGGTGGTGCTTGACCTGTTCACTGCAGGGATGGTGACCACCTCCACCACGCTGTCGTGGGCCCTGCTGCTCATGATCCTGCACCCGGATGTGCAGTGTGAGCCCAGTTGGGACTGGAGGGGAGAGGGAGGGAGGAAAAGTGGAATCAGGATGTAGGCTTCACTTCAGCAGGAGTCATAGTGACCTCACCAGGTCTCGACTCTTCACACAGAGGCAGGTGGGCACAGGTCTGGGGACTGACTGCGGTGTCTCTGCTTGTCCACGCAGGCCGCGTGCAGCAGGAGATCGATGAGGTGATCGGGCAGGCCCGGCGGCCAGAGATGGGGGACCAGTCCCACATGCCCTTCACTTGTGCGGTGATCCATGAGGTGCAGCGTTTTTCCGACATTGTCCCCTTGGGTGCGCCCCATATGACAACACGTGACATTGATGTTAAGGGCTTCTTCATTCCCAAGGTAAGGCCAAGCCTCCATTTGCCCAGGTCAGCCACCATCCAGCTACCATCACAGCTTGACTCTTTACTTTGAGCAAGTAAGATTAGGATCCCCATTTTAACATCTAGGAGGTAAGGGATGCAGGAGAAAAGTTCAGCCCTGTGCTCAGGGCCTCTGGAGCTGAGGGAAAGGCAGACCTGCAGGTTCAGTGGGAGTGTCGCCACACAGGGGACACGTCAATGTGTCCCTCATCTGCTGTGGACACAAGGGTGGTGTGCTGGAGCTGCTAGGGGCCCAGGGTCAGGTGGAAGGACGCACGTGGGCCAGGGCAGTGGCCGTGTGTTTGGTGCCCCTGACTCCCCTCACCAAGCACCTCCCACCAGGGCACCACGCTCTTCACCAACCTGTCGTCTGTGCTGAAGGACGAGCGCACCTGGGAGCAGCCCTTCCGCTTCCACCCTGCACACTTCCTGGACGCCCAGGGCCGCTTTGTGAAGCCTGAGGCCTTCATGCCCTTCTCAGCAGGTGCGTGGGGGCCTGGCTCCCTGTGCCCTCGCTGGGGTGACAGGCTGACTAAGAGGTAGCTCCCTGGCCCCAGCTGACTTTGTTTCCACTCCTTATCCCTCATAGGCCCCCGCACGTGTCTGGGGGAGCCCCTGGCGCGCATGGAGCTCTTCCTCTTCTTCACCTGCCTCCTGCAGCGCTTCAGCTTCTCGGTGCCCACAGGCCAGCCCCGGCCCAGCACCATTGGCGTCTATGAAACTGTGGTGATGCCAGCCCCCTACCAGCTGTGCGCTGTGCCCCGCTAGAGGCCACCAAGTCCCCACTCCACCCCAGCGGCACAGCTGTGCCCAACATCGCACGTGCTGGCTTTCCTCCCTGTGTGTCACCTCTGCACCCTAATTGGAGGATTGCTATGTTAAACCTCGGCATAGCACACCCCAGCTTTAGGGAAGTGGTATCTGTGTCCTGGGTGATGGGGAGAGTAGAGTGCATCTGCAGACCTCATTTAACCCCATTGCCATTATCCTATGTCTGCTTCCTTTTGGGGGGCAGGAGACACAGTGCTGGGTTTGAATTCCAAGCCATGAATCTGCTGGGCAAGGGCCTCTGCCACTCAAGCTATGGGCCCAGCCACAACTTCTTACCTGAGACCCCAAAGAAGTGGGTATATCAGGAAGGCAGGAAGTGGGTCAGCATTAACATCCACAGTTAGCTATCAGGAGCCAAAGTCTCCCTGGCAAGGCCTGATGGGAACCAACAGGGAGCCACCTTGCTGAGCCTCGCAGCCCCCAGACACAGCACTGACCGGCTGCCCTGGCCCCTCAGGCAAGCTGGTGTTCTGTCCCCTATGGGCTGAGAAGTTTCCTCTATGGCCAGGCTGGAGTGGGAGGCTGTGGTCAAGGATCTGAGCCTGCTTCCCTCAAGTACAGTGGCCAGAGAGGTTACCAGGGAAAAGACATGGAGACCTGTGGGCTGGGGCCCTAGGGCGGGCTTGCCCTTGTGCAGTGATAGGGACATAAAAGGAGAGAGACAGGGAGAGAGAGAGATCCCCTTTTTCCTTTGTCACTATATTAGGTGAACCTGGGCTTGTGTTTCCCCTTCTATAATGAGAAAATCACAGCTCCTATCTTTCTGCTGTGATTTCTGTCGCTGTGATCCTGGTTGATCTACATCCTCGCTCAGGGCAGGTGTAGGGATGAATGAGGTGGGGCCCCCATTTAAGGAGACATGACAGAGAAACCACAAAGTCCAGGTGGACTGTGGGTGAGCCCAATGGGAAGAACAGGCCTGGAGGAAAGAGGAAGCAAATGCAGCCCCTGAATTGGGCCAGATGGAAGGCAGAGAAGAAAACTGAGCTGCCAAGCAGTTCCTGCCTAAGAACTTTGAAATATGGTCTGAAAAAGAGATGGCAGGACAGTAGGCTCACAAAAAGAGAGACAGCCGATCCCCAAAGTCCACGAACTCCATAAAAGCCTCTCCCTGACCCACATCACTACAGCCACAGCCCTGCCTCACCCCTGCCTGGCTGCCCTCCCCGACTTTCCTGCACAGTTTCCTAAGAAATGCTTGCTTTCTCTTGTTCTCCCGGCTTGGGACATGGTGGTACCAGCCCAGGTACCTGAAATCTGCACACCACAGCTGGGTGCTCTTTCCCCCTCTGTCTTCATCCCACAGTGGCTGGTGGGGGCGGTGTCGGAGGCCCTCCAGAGTTCTTCATGCGCCTTTCGGAAACAGGCTGGGCTGGAGAACAGGCCACTCAGAGCTGGAGGCTGAGCGCTGTCTTTGCCGGGGCCGGCAGCATCTCCACGAGGGATCCCGGCCTCTCCTCAGCGCCCTAGGACAGGGGCCCCACAGGGTCCACCCTTCCTACATGGCCCCTGGGCCTGTGTGAGGTGCGGGCACTACGGGGCAGAGCCCAGGCTGGCAGCCGAGGCCCTGTGTTGGCAGGAGGGAGAGTGTGGCGTGTGGTCTGCACACTGCCCCTGCTCTCCGGGCAGCCTGGGGCCCGTGAAAGGATGAAGCTGGACTTCTAGAAGCAGCAACTGGAGGATTTATTGGACCCCTTCTTATTCATGGCTCTTTATCTTTGGGTTGTCAGAGGCCGGGAACCAACTCAGCCAGAATTTTCTCCAAAGTGGGGCTCCCCACATCCCAGACCACTTCTCCTCCTCCATCTCCACTTCCGAATCTTCTAAAACACACAAAACAGTAGGCCTGTATCTCCCTGTCCACAAGATAATTTACCCAGCACCCAGCACTCCCTGACAGCAGGGGCCACTGGGAGAAACGTTGCTAGGCGACCAGCTAGGGGGCGTGGCCTCCACACAGGGAGTGAGCCCAGGTAGGTTCCCCCTGCAAGGGCTGGTGTTTCTCCCCCTCCTCCCCAGGTCAGGAAAGTTTGCTAGATCTGGACTCTGTCCTGATACTGTTTCTGAGATTCGGAGGAAGGCGTCCTGATAAAACAACAGCATGGGGTCCGCCATCTTACCAGATGGATGTACTGCAACTTCCTGTTGGACCATTTTCTTTTCCTGGGATAGAAGAAGAGGGACACAGTAGTGAGATTAGAATCTGTGCTGTACAGATGAGGACACTGAGCAATCATGTGAGGTGAGGCCAGGACTGAGCCCCACTGGCTGTTCCCCCCAGTTCCCCATAGATAGAGCTCCTTGCTCCTCTGGGATGGCGCAGTGGTCCAGTGGTCCCGAGGGTGAACCAGCCTTTCCCACCGCAGCCTCCTCACCCTGCCGCCTCCGGGTGGCTGTCAGGGGGATCCATGCTGGGGATGGGCCAGGGGAGGCCTCAGCTTCTCACCTCCCAACCTGAGGTCCCTGCCACCCTCTCTCTCCTCCTCCCTGCCCCAGACCCTCACCTGCCCTTCCTCCTGAGATACACTGTCCGTGTCTTCCTGCGGGGTGGTATCATTTTGTGCTTCTTCCTCCTTGGGGGCCGTGGTCTGGGGGGAGGCCTGCGAAGTGGGCAGTGCGGCATTCAGACCTCAGCTCTCCTCCTGTCGCCACGCCTGGGGCTGTCCCAGGCCCTTGCCGTCCTTCCCGGTTGAGCTGAGCTGGGGTCAGTTTCCCCAAGGGGACTTGCCGTGGCCCCCTGGGACTCTGAGTCCACACAGAGTTCCCCTCCCCACCTTGCCAGGGGCCTCCCTTACTCTGGAGACTTGCTTCTCACCCCTGAGTTTTTGCCTCTGCAGGAGATAAGAATTGACACACAGTGTGGTTCCTGGGGGCCCTTGTCTCCAGGGGCACCCCCCCCCCAGTTACTATGAGAATGACTAACACAGACACCCACACCCTCCCAGCCCAGACCCACCTGAGCGGGCACCGGGTAGCACTTATCCATCAGCCCCCACACCGGCCTCACGGTCTCCCCTCTTGGCTGAGTGACAAGGAGAGACAGAAGGCTGCGGAGATCTGCCACTGCCTAGTCGGCAGATCCCCAGACTGTCAGCAGCCTCGAGAATATCTTTAAAAGGAAACTAAGGTTGGGCGTCCGTGGCTCACACCTGTCATCCTAGCTACTCGGGGCTGAGATACAAGGACTGTGGTTCAAAGCCAGCCCAGGCAGGAAAGGCCGTGAGATACTTATCTCCAACAAACCAACAGAAAACCGGAAGTGGTGCTGTGGCTCAAGTGAGGGACAGTGCCCAGGCCCACAGTTCAAGCCCCATGACTGATCAAAAAAAAAAAAGGAAGATAAGTAGAAATGTTTTGGTTTTGTGGTTTCCTTGGGGTGGGGGCTCTCTATGACAAGTCATTCCCAGCCATTCCTGGCTCTTTTATTCAAGGCTAGCACTCCATCACTTTGAGCCACAGCTCCACTTCTGGTTATCTAGGGATTAAATGAAGATAAGAGTCAGTCTCCTGGAATTTCTGCCTGGGTTGTCTTTGAACTGTTCTCAGATCTCAGCCTCCTAAGTAGCTAGGATTACAGGTGTGAGCCCCCAGCACCTGGCCAAAGAACTTTTTTTTGGGGGGGGGGTCATGGGGCTTGAACCCAGGGCCTGGGTGCTGTCCTTGGGTTTTTCTGTTCAAGGCTAGAGCTCTACTACTTTGAGCATAGCCACACTTCTGGTTTTTGAGTGGTTAATTCGGAGATAAGAGTCTCACTGACTTTTCTTGCCTGAGCTGGCTTCAAGCCTCGATCCTCAGATCTCGGCCTCCTGAGAAGCTAGGATGACAGGCGTGAGCCACCGGTGCCTGGCTAGAACTTTTTAAAATAGATATTTGATTTTTGTTTTTAGAAAGGAATTAAAGTTGAACTTAATGACCTCCAATGCATTTGTAAACAAGAGCATTCTTGATCACGTCTGAATGGTCACTGCCAAAGATGTACCCCAGGGCTCTCCAGTGTTGCTAGATAACATTTTCCCAAAAGCACAGGACAGGCGGCCTAGAGCCTGTGTGGCTCTGTCCTGGCACTGGGGGCGCTGCCGGTCTGCTCGCTTCCCTCCAGACTCTGAGTTTCCTCCTCTGTAGAGTGGCAGTGCTGGTTGCTGGGGCCTTTAGTGCCAGCACCTGCTCCCAACGTGTCCCTCCCTACACCCAGCCTCCCATGGTGTTCTGGCACAGGTTGTGGGGCCTGGGCTCTGTCATCCCCAGGAGGTCACCACTGCCCCATTCACCTCTGACTGTGGAGGACTGGGTCAGGAGTCACATGTTCTGTGGGTTTGGTCTGGGCACTACCATAGACAGACAGCCCATGCTGGGTGGGGGGGGGGGGGGGGGGGGGGGGGGGGGGGGGGGGTGGGGTGGGGGGGGGGGGGGGGGAAGGTGTGGAATCATGGAGCGGGACCAGGGGAGGGGATCAGCTCTGCTTTGACACTTTTCCAGAGAAATGGGATTCCAGCAGAACCCCCCTTTCACATGTCCTCTTGGTATATGCCTAGGTGGGTGAAGATGATAGACGGATGGGTATACATACATACATACATGCATACATGATAGATGGATGGACAGACTGATACATTATAGATGACAGCATCATCCCTGTGGCCCAGCCTCCAGGCCTCAGCCGCAGAAGACACTACCTGTGTTGATTTCTCAGCATTCTCATAGTCCAGCGCCGGTTTCCCCATGTACATCTGGAAATAGTAGTACCCCGCTCCTGCAGGTTGATGAGAAAGACTAGGGAAAACTTCGAATATGATGTCATTGCTTTTGTTTTTGTTTTTTGTTCAGCGCTGGGGGAATTGAACAAAAGCAGTCTACCACTTGAACCATCCCTAGAGTTCTGTGTTTTACTATTTACTGTACATGGGAAATGACAGCCTTTTAACCCCTTGAACCTTGCTGTAAAAGAGAGATTGCTAGATGTGGTAGCACACTCCTATAATCTCAGCATTCAAAGGACTGAGGCAGGAAGATTGCAAATCCGAGGCCAGCCTGGGCCACATCCTGAGAACCTGACTCAAAATCCAGTCAAAGGCAGGTGCTGGTGCTCAAGCCTGTAATCCTAGTTATCCAGGAGACTGAGATCTGAGAATCATGATTTGAAGCCATCCCAGGCAGGAAAGTCTGTGAGACTCTTAACTCTAACAACAAAAAGCCAGAAGTGGAAAAGCCGTGGTTCAAGTGGTAAACACTAAGCTTTTGAAGGAAAAAAAAAAGTGCTCAGGGACAGAGTCTAGGCCTTGTGTTCAATACACAGTACCTGCACCAAAAATAAATAAATAAATCCACGGTCAGCAAAGATATTAGGTATTAACTTAAAAATTTGGAAAAGATATATAGTTCTAAAGGTATGCAAGCAAACATCTGATTTCTGCCTGGGTTGTTGTATGGTTGTGTGATCTCCATTCTGTTGTTGCTGTGTGACCTCTGTCCTGTGGTTTGTGTGCTTTTGTGATCTCTATCCTAGAGTGTTGTGTAGCTGTGTGATTTCTACCCTAGTGCATTAGTGGTTGTGTGATCTCTGTCCTATGTTGTATGGTTGTTTGATCTCTGCCCCAGAATGTTGTCTTGTTGCGTGACCTCTGCCCTGGGGTGTTGTGTGCTTGTGTGACTTTGCCCTGAGATTGTGTGGTTGTGTGATCACCATCCTAGGGCACTGTTGTGTGATCTCTACCCTAGAGATTAGTGGTTGTGTGATCTCTAACGGAGGACATTAGCGGTTATGTGAGCTCTACCCTACAGCATTAGTGGTTACATGATCTCTAGGGCATTAGTGGTTGTATGGGCTTCGGTTGGTCTTGGTTTTAGAGATAGAGCAGCGTAGACTTTAGACTGAAAGGTGGGTTCAAATCCTCAGATCACTCTGGGGGAAGGAAGGGCCGTGGTGCAGCCATGGCTTTGAGCAATGCCAGGCAGGCCTCTAACAGCCTGGGAATGCTGGGAACCCAGGTGAGCAGCTGGAGACTGGGATGATGTCTCAGGTTCCAGGCCCTGCCATGCCCCTCTCAGCCCTCAGCCCTTACCTGCAAGAATGAAGATGTGCACCAGGTACAGGGACCTGTGGAGCCTGTGAGAGAAGGCATCATGAGCATGAGCCTGGCCACCGGCCCTCGGCAGTGGGAGCCACTTTCCTCCTCCACCTGGCAGCCTCCATTCAGCGTTTGAGGCTGAACAAATCTCAGGGCACCAGGCCTTGGGCTGAGCGCTGCTACCTGCCTGGCCTAGAGCCCACAATGCACCCCTGGATCCCTCCCTCCTCCTTTCCCCTGCAGTGATTGACTGGGTCTGTCCTGCCCAGAGGGAGAGCCCAACAGGAGAGCCCCCAGCTAAACTCCGCTACACTGGACTGGCACCACCGGGCATTTTGTTCTACATTCGCTCTTTCCCCACAGTTGCCCACAGCCCTCCTTCCTGCACAGGTCCTGCTTGTCCCAAGCACAGAGTGGCACAGCCAGGACAGTGGCTCCCTGATTACACACTCACACACACACACACAGAGACATACACAGACAGACACACACACATACACACACACACACACAGAGACATACACACACACAGACAGACACACACACATACACACACACACACTCACACACACACACACACTCACACACAGAGACATACACACACACACACTCACACACTCACACACACACTAACACACACTCACACACACAGAGACATACACACACACACGTACGTAGATAGGCGTTCACGTACACTGAGGCATGTCCCACCTTGCAGGACCAGGCCATCAGCTCTGCTGCTCACACATAGCTCCTTCCCCTTACCCCAATTCCCAGACACCTCACAATCTTCAGCCCAGGTAGGGATCTCCATCTTTGATTATTTGGGGCCCAGATAATGAACTTTACCCTTCTCTCTGGCAGCAGAATCCCAGCACCATCTTCAGTCTAGGAAGAGAAGAGGGCCAATGGCCACTGTGTCCTGTAGGCCAGGACTCCAGCGCCCCCTCCTGGTGTGTGGGGGGGATGGAGGCCCAGAACCAGGGCCTGGCTGGCCAGGGCAGCTGTACCTCAAACTCAGCAGGAGTTTGTAAAATCCTCTGATGCTTCTCCCAAGACCTCAGTTCCCCACCCTGCACCCCCAATAAACCTAGTTTCTATGCAGAGCCGGGAAGGATCCCCAGATCGGAGCAGGGGAAGATGCACAGGAAAGGATGAGGGAAAAAGGCTTAGAGCTGTTGAAATTGGGCAGAAAATGTCCCTAGGTTAAGTGGGTAATTAAAATAGTAAATAAGTAGTACATATACAAAGTAAATAAAAATTACTGGGGCTGGGAATGTGGCATAGTGGTAGAAGCATGCCTAGCAAGTGTGAAGCCCTGGGTTCAACTTCTCAGTACCACACAAGCAGAAAAAGCCAGAAGTAGTGCTGTGGCTCAAGTGGTAGAGCGCTAGCCTTGAGCAAAAGCTGCTCAGGGACAGTGCCCAGGCCTGAGTTCAAACCCCAGGACCGGCAAAAAACAAATAAAAAAAATAACCTACTAACACTTTCGGGCATGTTTCTGGCTTAAGTAGCATTTACAAATGTCTTTGGAGCTGAGCAGGTTGACTCATGCATATAATCCTAGCCACCTAGGAGGCTGAGTTCTAAGGATTGAAGTTCAAAGCCAGTCCAGGTAGAAAAGTCTATGAGACTCTCATCTCCAGTTTACCACTAAAAAGCCAGAAGTGGCGCTGTGGCTCAAGTGGTGGAGTCCTAGCCTTGAGTAAAAGAAGCTCCGGGACAGTGTCCAGGCCCTGAGTTCAAGCCCCAGGACTGGCACAAAATAATAACCACCAGCCGGGCGCTGGTGGCTCACGCCTGTGATTACAGCTACTCAGGAGGCTGAGATCTGAGGATCGCGGTTCAAAGCCAGCCCGGGCAGGAGAGACCGTGAGACTCCTATCTCCAATAAACCACTAGAAAACCGGAAGTGGCGCTGTAGCTCAAGTGGTAGAGCACTCGCCTTGAGCTGAAGAGCTGAGGGACAGTGCCCAGGCCCAGAGTTCAAGCCCCACGACCGACAAAAAAATAAAAATAAAAATAATAACCACCACCACCATCTTAGGAATGGTGAGGGAGACTTCACTATCTCATAATACCTTTCTCTTGGAAATCTCAACTGATGCTATTGGGGGTGTCCCTCAGGAGAGGGCCCCGGGTGGCCTGCCAGCTCCCCATCTCCACAGAAACTGTCTCAGAGTCTCTCAGGGAGTCGCGCTCCCTGCCTCTACCTCCTCCTGCTCTGCTTGGCACGCAGCGCAGCAGCTTAGATGGAGGTGTCCTCCACTTCCTGCCTCCAGAGCCCTCCGCCCTGCACCTGCTCCCCATGACCCCATTCCCGTGCTCCCCACCGTCTGGGCTTCTCCCAACCTGGGCATTCAGGGATCCCCAGTCTCCCTCCATCTCTTCTTTTCCTTATTCTCAGGCCCTTCCAATCAGCACTGTGACAAGATCAAGGCCTCATTCTCACTTAGGTGGTAACTTTGCCCCTTTCCCACCAATCTTCCTGCAAGTGCCATCTGCAGCAGGGGTGGGGGAGGATCTTCACAGCTCTCCCCTCCCTCCCCTCCTGTGCACTACCCCACCTCTCTCCTCCAGTCTCCTCATTAGGGGCTGTGATTTCTCACCTCTGCCATTGCTCCCACATCCTGCTCTCCCTCTGCCTGGCCTCAGTGCTGGTGCTGCTCTGAGCTCTTCTGGAATCAGCCTGTCCCCAGTGCTGAGAATGACCCAGAAGCTCTCAGTTCTAGGGCCTCCGCTGCCCAGATAGCAGAGGTGGGGTGTCTGCCCACCTGGGGGACCCATACTGTCCTCTGGGGCCTCCCGGAGTGAGAAGGCCACCATTGTCTCAGACCTAGTCCTGGGTCTTATGTCTGAGACTTATCAGCAGCTCAGGTGACTGCGTCGCTGGCTGAGTCTGGCACTCAAAGGCCTGCACATTGTGTGAAGGCCAAGTCTCTTGTCTTACAGAGAAACCCGCTAGCAAGGGTTCAACAGGAAGCTTTGCCAGTCATTTATAACAGAGGAAATGGAGCTGTCAGCTTGTACTGAAGGGCTTAGAGTGTGGGAGAGGAGAAGCAGGGGGCGGGCCAGTAGGCCGGATACAAGGACACCTGTTGGCTGATTGCTCTGGGTTGGCAGGGCAGCCCCGCCCGCTAACCAGACTCACCAGCTCTGAGCCTGTCTAGTGATTGGCAGAGAATCCTTTGACCATCAGCATCCACGCAGCCTGCCCGGCTCGAGGACCCCGTGTGAGAGGGACACTGGAGCGCAGGCTCATGCCGAGCCAGGCACTGGGGCTCTCCTATTTCAGGGAGAGTGGCATCTGAGTGTGACATCATGTCTCAGGGGCTTTGTGACAGGGCAGCCTCTCCATCCTTGGCCAGTGTGGCCTGGAAATGGCCTCAAGGTTGTTTTAAATGTCACCACTCAGGAGTTGGTCCTTACATGAGTTCCCATCATTAAACACCATGGGTGCTGACTGAGCAGCATCAACACACCAAGCTCTATAGAGACACAAAGACACCAAAGTATTAAAGGCTAAGACTCTGTCCTGTCGTATAATCCAAGAATCAAAAGCCTGAAATCCCAGCTACTCAGGAGGCAGAGTTCAGGACTGTAGTTCAAGGCCAGCCCAGCTAAAGTTAGTGAGAGCCCCCATCTCCATCAATAAGCTAAGCATGCTGGTTCATGTCTATAATCCTAGCTATGAGAGAAGCACAAGTTGAAAGATTTTTCAGACTCTATCTAAAATACAAGAAAAAAAAAAAAAGAGGTGTGCCTCAAGTGGCAGAGGGACTGCCCGTGTAAGAAAAAAAAAAAAAGAAAGAAAGAAACATAGTCTAAGAACTTGTAACTAGCTGAGAATGTGGCTTAGTGGTAGAGTGCTTGCCTAGCATGCATGAAGCCCTGGGTTCAAATTGCTCAGTACCACACAAACAGAAAAAGCCAGAAGTGGTACTGTGGTTCAAATGGTGGAGTGCTGATAGCCTTGAAAAGCAGCTCAGAGACAGTGCCCAGGCCTTGAGTTCAAGCCTCAGGACCGGCAAAGAAAAAAAAAACCTTGTAAATAACCATTCATCCAACCATTCAACCAGTGTGTATATAGAAAGGAAAAAAGGCTGGATATCAGTGGCTCACACCTGTAATCCTGACTTCTCAGAAGGCTGACATCTGAGGAGCATGGTTTGAAGCCAGCCTGGGAAGAAAACTCCTTGAGATTTATCTCCAATTAACCATCAAATTTGGGCTGAAGGCATGACTCAAGGAGTAAGGAGCCAATCATGTTCTAGAAAGTCAAGAAATCTTGAGACCCTGAGGCAAGTCTTTGTACTAGAAAGAAGAAAAAAAGCTGGGTGCCAATGGCTCACACCTGTAATCCTAGCTACTCAGGTGGTTGAGATCTAAGGACTGAAGTTCAAAGCCAGCTGGGCAGGAAAGTCTGTGAGACTCATCTCCAATTAACCACCAAAAGCCAGAGGTGGAGCTGTGGCTCAACTGGTAGAGCAGTCACGTTGAGCAAAGCAGCTCAGGGACAGTGCCCAGGCCCTAAGTTCAAGCCCCAGGAGCTGCGTGCACACGCGCACGCATGCACACACACACACACACACACATATGCAGACCACTCTGTCAAGATCTACCACAAAGGTCTTTAGGTGAAGCAGACTCAGTACCACTCATAACAAATAACACACAAACACAAACAGAAGGGATTTCCTACATCTAAGGCCAACCAACTGTGTCCTCCATCAAATGACATAGGTAACAGCAGACCAGCGGACCAGTGGAACTCCTTAGGCTCCCCAGTCCTAGTTAACCAGTAATTACCACCCCAGATGATGCCACACACACACAGAAAAATTGCTCTTGTGGGGTCCTAAGGCCCACCTCCTTAAACAGGGGTTTCAGTGTGTTTAGAAGAACTCACCCAAGCTTGGCTAAAGTGTTGTCCCATCTTCATTTTATTCTTTCTCTCCTTTTCTTTGTGCCTGTCTATTATGACCTGGGAGCAAGACAAGCAAGGCAAGATTAAAGGTGACAAAATAATTTTATTTACAGTACTTAGGCCAGAAAAAGTGCCTGCAACTACCTTGTCCTGGGCTAGCTATCCAGAACCCAGAGCAGCCTCGACCACCAAATTTCCAAGCCTCCAATGGGCAGCCCAGACCTTTATTATCTGTTCTGCACACCTCAGTCTGCAAACCTCCAACCCCGGACCTCCAAAGCTCCAGGAAGGCTTTTCCTCCTTCCTCCACTCTCTCAGGCCTGCCTTGCTCTGGCAGAGGCCTCTCCACAGGCCTCTCTGCTCTGGAAGAGGCCTCTCTACAGGCCTCAGGCCTCTCCACAGTCCTGCCCTGCTCTGATAGGCGCCTCTTGCTGTCTTTCTCCTCCTGCTGTCCCCCCACTGCAGCCTCCCCCCGACCCCCACTCCAATGAGTCTAAAGCTTTCAACCGCCACTCACGCACCGCCCCCAAGTTGCCCACTGTCCAACCACTTCTTGACATCTAGACAGCTTGCCTGATGGGGCGGTGACATCAGCCTCTCGATGCCACGCCCCCTCCAGGGGCACACCTTATGGGGAGGTGGTCAGGCTCGATGCCCCGCCCCCTCTGGGGTCACACCCTATGGGGAAGTGATGTCAGCCTCTACACACACACACACACACACGCGCGCGCGCACACACACACACACACACACACACACACACGCCGCCCCCTCCAGCGTGGTTGGTTGGCCGCAGTGCTATGAGATCAGCACAGGGCGACTTCGGCCTGGCCAGTAATTACATGTCCTGGGGCCTGAACCCTGTGGCCCGGCACTGTCCCCGGGCTTTTCCACTCTACTACTTGGGCCACAGCTCCAGTTCTGGTTTGTTTTGTGGGTGTGGTTTATTGGAGATCAGCCTCACAATGGCTTTGAACCATGATCCTCAGAGCTCAGCTAGAATTACAGGCACGAGTCACAGCACCCGTAAAATAAATCCCTTTTCTGTCTTTCTCAAAGCTTTCCCAGGAGTGGGAGCCATGCATTTGCAATCTGGAGGGAAAACGAAGTCCCAGGAACTAACTGGGCCTCTCTCCCTGCACGCCCGCATCTCCGCCGGGCTTGTCCCAGAACCGAAACCCAGGACTTCCCGCAAACCTCAAAGTCCAAGGACTTAGGGTGAGAACCCTCCCTGTCCCGCAGGTTGAGTGTTTAAGTTGGATACCAGAAAGTCAGTCATGAATGCAATGTTAACTTAAAAACATGGAGAACAGCCGGGCTCACGGGAGGCTGAGACCCGAGGACCGCGGTTCGAAGCCCGCCCAGGCAGGAACGTCCTGGGAATCTTATCCCAAATGAACCGCTGAAAAGCCCCAAGTGAAGCCGTGGCTCGAGTTCAAGCCCCGGAACCCGCGCGCACACACAAAAGACACACGAGGACGGCGATCATGTCATACTCGGCCTTCCAGCCTGGAGCGCGCTGACGTATTCCCCGCAAGACGACCCCCCCACACACACACACACGCAATCTGCGTGCGGCGCGGTCAGCACCGCAGCGCCCGCGCCGCTGTCACCTCCTCGGAGCCGGCGAGAGAAACTCACGGAGGAGGCGGGACGCGGGAGCCGGCGGGAAGCAGCGCCCCCTGGCGGCGGCGGCGGCCTGCTGAGTGCGAATGAGCGCATGCGCCGCCCGCTGGTCACTTTCCCACGAGACCAAAGTTTCCAGCCAATGGGAGAGCTCAGCACCGTACTCCTGCCCACCCACCCATGGCGCAGAGGGCGTGGCGTCTCGCTTTAGCCAATGAGAAAAGGCATTGGGCGGGGGCGCAGCGCGTCAAGGAGCGCGGAGGTGGTAGCTTTTTCGCAAGATGGCGGCGCGCGGCCTCCGGCAGGCCGCCGCTGCGGTCGCCAGCTCCTCGGTGAAGCCCATCTTCAGTAGGGACCTGAACGAGGCCAAACGGAGGGTACGCGAGCTGTACCGCGCCTGGTACCGGGAGGTGCCAAACGCCGGTGAGGGGCAGCGGCGGACGCGGGGACCGGAGGCGGCTGCTCACGACCCAACGGCCGGGGCCGGCGACCCCGGTTCCCCGGGGAGCGGGTCACCGCGCGGCGGGGACGAGGCCTGGCGGGGCTCCCGAGCGCCCGCGCGGGGGAGCAGGGGCGCTTAGGGACGTTTTGTGGGCGACGCGGCGAAGGACGCCCCGTCCCAGGAGCTCCGCCGGCCGCGGCCGCGGAGCCCGCCCGGCCCGGGAAGCTTCCCCAGACGCCTTCGGCCCGGAGCCAGCCTGGCCGCAGCCTCTGGCCGTCCCCCCACCAGCACTGAGCCGGGCGAGGGCGCTGACTGCCCCAAGGTCGTCCCCGGAGTCCGGGGTGACCTTCCAAGTCTCTCCAGGGGAGGGGTGTCCCTCACGGGGGGCCAGCCCGCCCCCGCCGTGCCGTCCCCGGCCGTGTTCCCTAGGCCTCCCCTCCTCTCGGCCGGTCGCCCCCCTCCCCGCCGCGAGCACCTCTTTTGGCTTTAAATGGCCCTGTCCGGCCTGTGCCCTTAAATCTGTCCCAGTACTGATTCAGAGACGGGGAACTCCCCGCGCCGTCCGGAGCAGTGCGGACGCGGACGGGCTGGGGAAGGCCAGAGGCCCAGAGCTCAGACCCCCGTATTCCCCACCACCCTCAGCGATGTCGGGCTGTGCATGTTTTGCTAGTGCTCTCCGTGCTCATCACGGCTCGTCAGAGGGGGAGCGTGTTGTGTGTGTTTTGCCATGGGAACACTTGGTTCTTCCCTGCCTGTGTGTAGATAGTGGAGCCTTCACAGTCCTCCAAACTCTGCCTGTTAGGCACCGACAAGCTGTGTGATCCGTGCCCGGTCCCTCAAAATAGTCACCTTTGGAAAGTTACTGTGTTCCGTAGATGAATACACCCCAAATGATAAGGGCCTGGCATTAAGCTAACAAATGTTGGCTGTGGTGTTTTGCTATTTCTGCTGCTGACCTACAGAAGGCTCTCTGAGCAGTCCAGTTCTTTGCTGTATGTGAACTGTGCTACTGTCAGTACTCCCCTCCTTTTTTTTGGCCAATTCTGGGGCTTGAACTCAAGGCCTGACCACTGTTCCTGAGCTGCTGCTGCTGCTTTTTTGTTTGTTTTTTTTGTTCGGCCGTGGGGCCTGAACTCTGGGCCTGGGCGCTGTCCCTCAGCTCTTCAGCTCAAGGCAAGCGCTCTACCACTTGAGCCACAGCGCCACTTCTGGCTTTTTCTGTTTTTATGTGTTGTGCATGCTAGGCTAGCACTCTACCACTAAGCCACCTTCCCAGCCCCTCCCCCTTTCTGAAACAGGGTCTTGCAGCCAGCCCTGCCTCTACCTCAGTGCTAGGATTACAGTCACGTGCCACCACAATGACTCTCACACCCACCTTTTGAGAGACTGCTGGTGACCAGAATTTAATCCCACCTGGTGTTAAGAAAGTGGGAAGTATGGAAGTAGTGTTTTGCTGTGCAGGGGCAAGCAGATAACAGGTGTGAGGGGCGGGCACAACAGGAAGTGGGAGAGGTGCATGTGCAAGACCCTGGGTTCTGTCCCGAATGCGGGAGAAAAAGAAACCAGTCGGGCACAGTTGCCTCCCCATCTGTTCAGGAGGCTGAGGCTGTCATGAGCGACTTAGCTCGATCCCACCTCAAGCAGCAAGTAATACCAACATTCATAAAAAGCTCAGTCAGTGCTAGAAGTGGATGTAAACATTTTATGTTACGCAGTCTCCACAGCAGCTCTGAAATTTAGGTATGTTTGTCTTCATTTCATTAATAGACTCAGAAAATGACGTATGTAACTTGTGGACAGGGATGGGAGGGGAAAGCAAAGGAAGGGGTGACATTGTCCAAAAAGAGAAATGTGCTCATTACCAGACTTATGAAATGCCAACCCCCACCTTAATAACAATAATATATTAAAAATAAGAACAAAGGGCTGGGAAGGTGGCTCAGTGGTAGAGTGCTTGCCTTGCATGCCTGAGGCCCTGGGTTCGATTCCTCAGCACCACATAAGCAAAAAGAAAAAAAGCCAGAAGTGGCACTGTGGCTCAAGTGGTAGAGTGCTAGCCTTGAGCTGAAGAGCTGAGGGATAGTGCCCAGGCCCAGAGTTCAGGCCCCACGACCCGACCCAAAAAAAAACAAAATAAATAAATAAATAAAAATAAGAACAAAAAATAAAAATAAACTCGGATACAGCATTGTTAACTGACACAGGATATAAATGAGGGAACTGGCATTTGAATCCAGGTTGTTCTGACTGTGCTGTCTTGCTATCTTTCAAATATAATGGTCTGGCCAGTCACTGGTAGCTCATGTCTGTAATCCTAGCTACCCAGGAGACTGTAATCTTCATGGTTTGAAGCCAGACTGGAAAGTAGTCTGTGAGACATTTTTTTTATCTCCAATAAACTACTCAGAAAAAGCCAGAAGTAGAGCTGTGGCAAGTGGTTGAGTGCTATCCTTGAGCAAAAGGAGCTCAGGGACAGTGCCCAGGTCCTGAGTTAAAGCCCAGGAGTGGCATTAAAAAAGACACACACACACTCACACGCACACACGTGTGTGTGTGTGTGTGTGTGTGTGTGTGTGTGTGTGTGTGTGGTCTGTTTCCCCAAACAATGCAAACTCATTGAGCCTCATCTTACACGTCACATCTCCAGGCACAGAGCTTAGGGTCAGGCTATTGGTGTGTGGAATAAATGGACAACCTGTCTGTTAATGGATATTTATTGCCTTATGTTTTTAAAAACATGTTTAAACCATGTAATTTCTGAATCATGTTTTCTCTTTAGTGCACTTATTCCAGCTAGACATCACTGTGAAACAGGGGCGGAATAAAGTTCGAGAGATGTTTATGAAGAATGCCCATGTCACAGACCCCAGGGTGGTGGATCTTCTGGTCATTAAGGTAACTGGCCCTTCCTGACCAACTTGCCCCTTGTTTCTCAGTCTTCCCAGATGAACAGGTAACTACTACTTCAGAGGAGTAGTTGGAGTTATCATCTTGTTAAATAGATTATAAGATTGTTAAAGGAGAATCTACTGTGGCTTACATTTTATAACTAAAGATCAATGCAAAGAAAAGTTTGAGTACATTTTGAATGCGGCCCCTGGAAGCAGAGCAGCAGCTTTACTTGGGTGCCAACTTACAGCTAGAACTGAGGAATTCTGTCTTATATAAATGGGGAACAGTTAGGGGCCTGGTTCTATCTCACCAGCCAGTCGGGGACCTCAGTGTGGGCCAGGAAATAACATAGAAGAGAAATGTTAAATAGAAATTGGAGTTAAACCAGTCAAGTTATGCAGGCACCGTTACATGTCAACCTGAAAGTCTCCTCTTTGCATCTGTTCACCAGAGATGATAATATTTGAAAGACCTCATTTTCTAGATACAGGAACAACTAGAGCAGTTATTTGCCCAAAGTCATTTATTTATTTTATGTATTTATTTATTTTTGGGTCCGGTCGTGAGGCCTGAACTCTGGGCCTAGGCGCTGTCCCTCAGCTCTTCAGCTCAAGGCTAGCGCTCTACCACTTGAGCCACAGTGCCACTTCTGGCTTTTTTTTCTTTTTTGCTTATGTGGTGCTGAGGAATGGAACCCAGGGCCTCAGGCATGCAAGGCAAGTGCTCTACCACTGAGCCACCTTCCCAGCCCGCCCAAAGTCATTTAAAAGGTCCATGTCAGCCAGGCACTAGTGGCTACTCAGGAAGCTGAGATTCTGAGGATCATTGTTCTAAGCCAGCCCAGGCAAGAAAATCCATGACTCTTTTTCTCCAATTAACTACCTCAATTGGAGCTGTGGCTCAATTGGTAGAGTGCTAGCTAGCTTTGAGCAAAAGAAGCTTAAGGACAGCACCCAGGTCTTGAGTTCAAGCCCTAGCCTGGCACCAAAAAAAAGTCTTTTATTTATTGAATTGTAATCCCTTTGTACAATTACTTAATAAATTTTTTAAGTGTGTTACAAAGGGCTTAGTTACTAAGCTAAAAAGACAGTCTACAAGATGAGAGATCTTTCATAATTCTATATTCTGACAGGGGTTAATACCCAGAATATACTAGGATCTCAAAATAATCCAAACCCAAAAATATTAATAATCCAATTAATAAATAGGCAAAGGAGCTAAATAGAGACTTGTCAGAAGAAGTAAAAATGGCCAATAATCACGTGAGGAAATGCTCCACCCCAGGCCATAAAGGAAATGTGAATCAAAACATCAAGATTCCATCTCACCCCAAGAATACAAACAAAAGATGCTAGTGGGGATGTGCAGAAAAAGAACCTTTTTGCACTGGTGGTGGGAATGTAACCTAGTGCAATCACTATGGAAAGCAATTTGGAGATTCCTCAACAAACTGAACATACAGCTCCCTATGATCCAGCCATACCACTCTTGGGCATTTATCCAAACAATGACAAGTCAGATACAGTTAAGACATTTGAACATCCATGTTCTTTGCAGTCTATTTACCATAGCTAAGTTGTAGAAACAGCTCAGATACTCTACAGTGGATGATTGGATCAAGAAAATGTGAATTTTATTCATCCATCAAGAAAAATGTTATTTATAGGGAAATGGGTGGATCTGGAAAAAAAGTTAGATTCACAAAGGGCTCTCATATGTGCAAGTTAGATGTAAATTATAAGCATGACAACAAACACAGGACCATATGCATATATACACAAATTAAGTTTTGGTATATGCAGAGGAGGATTCCAGTGGTATAACTCCTCTGAACTGACTTAATAATTTAACACAATGAATACCAGAAAATAAACATGAATTGGGGAAAAGTGGATGAATACAGAAGAAATGAGCAGGGAGGGCTGGGAAGGTGGCTCAGAGGTAGAGCACTTGCCTTGCATGCTCAAGGCCCTGGGTTCGATTCCTCAGCACCACATAAGCAAAAAGAAAAAAGCCGGAAGTGGCACTGTGGCTCAAATGGTAGAGTGCTAGCCTTGAGCTGAAGAGCTGAGGGACAGCACCCAGGCCCAGAGTTCAGGCCCCAAGACCGGACCCCCCCCCCCCAAAAAAAAATATTCTCTACAGAAATGAACAGGGAGCTGGTGGCACATGCCTGTTAGCTTCTCAGGAAGCTGAGATCTGAGGGTCTTGGTTCAAAGCCAACCAGGACAAGAAAGTTCAGGAGACACTTATTCTCCAACTATCAGCAAAAAACCAGAAATGAGATGGGGCTGAAGTGGTAGAATGCTAGTCTTCAGCAAAAACAGCTCAGGGATAGCACCCAAGCCCTGAGAGTTCAAGCCCCAAGACTAGCACAAAAGTGGGTGTGGGTGGGGTGGGGGAGAAGGGGGTAGATAGCTGAATAAAGAAGAAAGGTGAGCAAATAGTCATAATATTCGGTGTGCATATGTGAACCTTGCACTCTATGGGGTTGGGACAAAATGGAGAGTGATGGAAGGGACAACTGATCAACACGCACTGTACTCATAAGCCCACATGTTCAATTGAAACTCCTTTGTACAGCTACTTCAAGGGAATTCAAAAAGTCTGGATCAGGGGCTGGGAATGTGGCTTAGTGGTAGAGTGCTTGCCTAACATTCCTCAGTACCACATAAACAGAAAAAGCCGGAAGTGGCTCAGCCTAACTGGTAGAGCAGCTCAGGGGACAGCGCCCAGGCTCTGAGGTCAAGCCCCAGGACAAGTCTGTGTCAAGCAGAAGGGAGTCCTGAGCATCCCTGTTGTACTCCTTTGACTTAACCACATTGACCTGTCCCCTCCCTTGTACAGGGCAAGATGGAACTGGAGGAAACGATTAAAGTGTGGAAACAGCGGACACATATTATGCGATTCTTCCATGAAACAGAAGCACCACGGCCAAAGGATTTCCTGTCCAAGTTCTATGTTGGCCACGACCCGTGACATCACTCAATGAAAAGATACATGTGGATATTTAATTGTTTTAGAGTACAAATAAACTCATTATTTGACTGTCAGTTCAGGATAGAGCTCCATGGCAAATCATTTCTCTGCAGTCTCTCCTTTGCGAAAAAGTGAGGTCTTGGCATATGTACCAGTTCTTTTTTCTTTCTTCACATATGCATTGGGTTTTTTGTTGTTTTGCTTTGCAGGGAAGGGAGGACTAGGTTTGAACTCAGGGCTGGGTGCTGTCCCTTAGCTTCCACTCAAGGCTGGTACTACCCACTTGAGCCACAGTCCAGTTCTGGCTTTTAGTGGTTAAAGTATCTCATAGATTTTCTTGCCTAGGTTGGCCTTGATCTCTAAATACTACTGCCTCCGCCTTTCAAGTGTTGGGATTACCAATATGCACTACCCTGCCCTACCACTTAGTTGTATTTATACAGACTTTACAGTGGGACATTTGGTGTGCAGGCACAGGAGAGCTGACAGGATGGGCTGTTTTCATATCAATACTGCTTCCCCCACCAAAGGGTGTGTTCCCTGGGTTCTGAATAAAATGGATGCTCGGAGCCCTAGCCCCTCCACGTGGAACAAGCACCTGTCCTTAAAGTGAAATTAACTTCCTACTTCAGGCAGGCTTCTGAGGCACAGCTGTTCAGTGCATGCAGAGCAACTGGAGCCTGTGCAGATTGAGGAGCCTCAGCCATTTTCTAAGTCACACACAGCTGATGTTTATTATAATTATTCACAATCTGGCTGGTGCTTTTATAGTGTGCAGTGCACAGCATATCTCAGGGGACCTCTCCCAGAGCCTCAGGATCTGGGCTGTGTTTCTGGACCATGCAGGAGGCAAGGCTGAGGTCTTTTCCAAACCCACACTTGATAGGGAAGGAGGAGAGGCTGAGAGCGTCACCATTTCTTCAGCAGTGCTTTCTCCTTTCTCCCTCCATGCCCTGTAAGAAAGGGAAGCAGCCATGAACTGGGCAACAGACAGATTGGTTCTACCAAACATGGAGAAAGGCAATGTTGAGTGCCTTTATTTGTGCATTGAGCAGGCATGCACCACAGGTCAGACATGGAGATGAACAAAAGGCACTTTCCCTGCCAGCAAAAAACAGTCTGGTAGAAGTGGGTTACTGCGCATTTAGGAATATAATAACTAAGTGCCATAAACCTACAATCCTACCTACACAGAAGGATGAAACCTGAGGATCAAAGTTCGATGCCAGCTGGGACAGACAAGCCTAAGAGACATCTCTAGTTAGCCAGCCAAAGGCCAGAACTGGAGGTTAGCTTAAGTAGTAGAGCACTATCCATGAGTGAAAAAGCCAACCAAGTGAAAACTTTCAGGAGCAGGGGAATCGTTCAAGTCCAAAACTAACCACAACAAAAAGGGCTGAAGATGCAGCTCAAGTAGCAGAGTGCTTGTTTAGTGACTGGAAAGCCCTGAGTTCAAACACCTCTACCTGAAAGGTACCAGGCAATCTGTAAATTGGTTGTCACTTTCATCCAACTTAAAGAAAAATCCAAAACACGAATCACCAATTGTGCCAATCCCCTGAACCTTCTGCCCTAAATGTCCAAATGCTGGTATTTCCACATCGGATTTGCCATCCCACTTCTTGTGCCTGTCCAGTTGTGGGGAAAAAGTTACCTGTTAGTCGTCGTCATCGTCATCCTCTGGGACAAAAATGTCATGTTCCTCTAGTAGAGCAGCAAAGTTCTTGCTTATGAGCGTCCCGACGTATAGAAAGGGGATCACAATGGAGAACACACGGAGGAGGCCAAAGGACATCTGCAGAGGGGTAGAATGGTGGCTGTGAGCGCCAGAGCCCACTCTGGCAGGACCACGGGAAGTCCTGGCCCCTCAGAACATTTCCTCCGGTGGATCCCAAGAGCCATGGTAGGCCACTTGATATTAAAATCCTTGGAGAAATTCAGAACAAGTTGTGGCCATCAAAACGGATGTGGTAAAGAAAGGCACTGCAGACATCTAAAGTTTATTATCAGGTACAACCTACAAGCAAGCAAGAACATTCAGAAGACCATAGCTGGCTCTACCAGAAGATACTCAAAACAATTACAAAAAAGCATTGGGAAGGTGGCTCAATGGTAGAGCGCTGGCCTCGCATGCACGAGGCCCTGGGTTCGATTCCCCAGCACCACATAAGCAAAAAGAAAAAAGCCGGAAGTGGCGCTGTGGCTCAAGTGGTAGAGCGCTAGCCTTGAGCTGAAGAGCTGCGGGACAGCGCCCAGGCCCAGAGTTCAGGCCCCACGACCGGACCCCCAAAAAAAAAAAAAGGTTGCACTTCCCTTTATTTACAAACACTTCACAATTCATTGTTTTCATCTCAGCTGTAGGGGACAAAGCGATTGCATGACTTCTCTCTGCCCCAGGGGAATGGCGCGCCACACACAGGACGACCAACTAGTGCAAAATGCAACGTTTGCCCTTCAACTTCTGCCTCCTTCTCCCACCTGTCAATACAACCGGTAGCGCAAAAATGCGTCCCTGGTCCGCCTTCCGGTCTATGCCGAGCCTACGATTGGTCTTTGCCCCTGTCAATCAGTATCGGCCACACGCACGCCTCACAACGATTGGCCTTGGCCCTTTCGCCCCGCCCCCAGGCAGACACTCACTTTCACAGGTTTGGGCAAAATGGCGCCGCTGCGGGTAACGATGACTGACCTAGATGGTACCAGGTTCGGACCTGATGTGCCTTGTACGACGGAGACATCTCCACCTTTCTTCCAGCTCGGCCCCCTCCGGAGAGCCCCGGATCGGACAGACGCCAAAGCCAGCCAGCGAGCCGCTCCAGACGCCATCTCCCAGCTCCGCCCCTCGTCCCGGCACCCGCACCCACCCTCACGGCCCGGCGCCGCCCTCGGGAAGGGCGCCTCCCCAAGCCTCGCGAGACTTGTAGGCGCCAAGAGAAGCCCAGGCGCAGCGCTTGCGCAATGCCTCCCATCGCTGGGCGTGTCACCCGCCGGGGCAGTGACGTCACTGCCCCAGCCCCACCCACCCCCAGCTCTGACGGGCGGGGTCCCCAGCTCCGGGGTTCACGCGACTCAAATTCCCAAACCCACTTCCGGGTAGGCTGTAGAAAGAAACTTAAGGAGCCAAAATGAGTACGAATAGAAGAAAGCTTTACTTAGTGTTTACGTCTATTAAAAACCAGTTTAAACGTTTAACGAAGGTCTGTACTGTGTACCTATAAAACAGGTGCAGCGGCCGCGGGCCTCACTCCCGCCAGAGCCTGGGAGACAACTCGGCCTCCTGGAGATAGGAGACTTAGGCCTAGCTGTGTCTCAGCTGGCCCGAAGCCCCAGTAGAGAGGGAGGCTAGGAGGAGGCAATTTTGTGTTTGCGAAGGGGTGTCTCTGACTAGACTCTGCATCTTCTAACCATCCGTCCACACTACTCCCATAAGGGAGACAGACGGGCGGGTCTGCAGACCCAGGGCCGTACCTTCCAGAGCCAAAAACAAAAAAACATCTGCATGGTGCTGGGGAGAGTAGCAATGAGGGTTCTTGACAGGTAAACTGTTTGGACAAGCAGGATTGTGACACAGTTCCTTCCCAGACGATTTCACTCAAAGTTTCAGGAGCAGAAACACCTTTGTATGGGAACGCAGCCAGCAGACATCACAGAGTGCCTGGACGGGTTCCTCAGAGCCACCTTGCCTGGCTGCTGGAGGCAGGGCACAGGAAGGGTTTCTGTTGACTTAGAAAAGCTACCAAGCCCACCCAGGGCACAGACCAGGACAAACGTGGAGAGGGCAGCCAAGAGCAACAACAACAACAACAAATCCTCTCTATTGGCTAGAAATAGGTCCTACCTAGAAACCCCTATCACAAACAAATGCAAGTTCCCTGACGTCAGTCCTTCATGATGATATGCCAGGCAGCTTCTGGGATTTAAATGCACACAGCTTTCCTGTGATAGAAAATAGGGTTGCAGAATCTTGTGTGCAGGCCAGGGGCAGGACAGGCCCACTTCTTTCATTTCATAAACACCCCAAGAGGGGCCAGCCTACCACAGAGTCCAGAGACTTAGGGCTGTCTGGGTTCTACATAAATCACCTTTCCTCTGCAGGCATACAGAAGGATCTGGAATTTAGAGAAGGTATCAAAAGCAACCTTAGAAATGAGTAAACTTTTAACTCCTGAAGAAAACTCAGCTGGGAAGCTAGTGGCTCACGCCTGCAATCCTAGCTACCCAGGAGGCTGAGATCTGAGGATCGAGGTTCAAAGCCAGCTGGAGCAGAAAAGTCTGTGAGACTCTTTATCTCCAATTAACCACCAAAAAGTGGTAGAGCACCAACCTTGTGTGAAAAAGCCAAGTGAAAGCTTGAGGCCCAAAGCTCAAGCTTTAGTACCAACACAAAGAAAAAGAAAAAACAAAGCAAGCGAGCAAGCAAGCTGGGCTCCAGTGTCCTAACCAGCAGGACACAGCCACAACTTGGAAGGTCCAGCCAGGTTCAGGGCCTGTCCTGTTGCTCATGCTCTGGCTGGCTACCCTGCACCCTCTGCTGCCACCTCTGCCTCAGCTCCATGATCTCCTGGCCATACCAGTTGTGCAGCGTAGAGAAGCAGGAGGTCTCAGGGGACACGGGGCTCTGCCCTCTGCTTAGGAGGAGGCTGGCAGGGCCCTGCAGCTCCCACTCTGCCAAGTCCCGCCCTGCTGGCCGGCTGCCCACGTCTCTCATGAAGCACCCAGGACTGTGGTCCCTGGGGAGAAAGTGGCCATTCTCCCAGGCTGGAGAAGAGCGGTCCGGAGCCTGTGGCTTTCGGTGACTGGCATTGACCTTCCAGGGTGTAGAGCGATGCAAGGCCAGGCTCTGGCGGGCATCCTGCAGCTGGCTCTCCAGCTCTCGTACCACCAGACGCATGTAGCCAAAGCTGGCGCGGGACAGGGCCTTCACCCAGGCCTCCTGGGCTGCCTGCCCATCTGCTGCCAGCAGGTGTGGGCGCACGCCAGGGGCATCAAAGCGGATGGCGAAGGCAAACTCCTCAGGCACAGGAGCCTCCGCCAACTCCACTGTGCAGCCCTCCAGCACCACCAGGCTGAGGGGGGCCCGGCCCTCGGGACTCTCAAAGGAGAACAGCAAGTTGCCCTTGAGGACAAACCAGCATCTTCGGCCAGTGCCACTGGGAGTGGGTGGGGTTCCTGGACCCCCCCAAGTACGCAGGAAGCCGGTATGGTCTGCCGGGGCGTCGCTGAGCGCATAGTGGGCCACACTCCTCTTGTTCAGCTTCATGATCCCGTAAGAACTGCAAGGCAGAGAGAAGTGGCAGCGGGTTAGAGAGGGAGGTGGCCTCGAGCAGGGAAGGGGCTGGCTCTGCAGGGACCTGGGCTGCCCTCCAGGGTTGCTGTGACACACCCTGAGCCTCTGAGTTTTCATCTGTGAAGGGGGACAGTCTCCACTGGCCTTTCTCTAAAGGGATGCTGTCAGATCCATGCAAAAGTCTGGGTATTTGAGACTCAGAGGAAAGAAATAATGATTATCAAAACAAGAGGCATGAAAGCCAGGCACTGTGATCCTAGCTATTTAGGAGGCTGAGATCTGAAGATGGAGGTTCAAAACCAGCCTGGGCCGGAAAGACTGTGAAACTTTTTTTTTTTTGGCTGGTCAAGGAGCCTGAACTCCGGGCCTGGGCGCTGTCCCTCAGCTCTTCAGCTCAAGGCTAGTGCTCTACCACTGGAGCCACAGCGCCACTTCCGGCTTTCTCTGCTTATATGGTGCTGAGGAATCGAACGCAGGGCCTCATGCATGCAAGGCAAGCACTCTACTACTGAGCCACCTTCCCAGACCGGTGTAAAACTCTTATTTCCAATTAACCACCAACAAAGCCAGAAGTGCAGTCGTGGCTCAAGTGGTTAGAGAGATAGCCTTGAGCAAAAGAGCTCAGAGACAGTGTCCAGGCCTTGAATGCAAGCCCCAGGACGTGTGTACACACACACACACTTCAGATTTCAAGCCAATAAATGCAGGTAGGACAGGGTGAAAGGTGGGATGGAAACATACTTGGCAAACAAGAGTGTGACACACAGGGGGGTGCGGATGCCACACCGGAGCACACCCGTCACGGCCGCTGCCGCTGACCAAGGCTCATCTCCCGCACTTCACTGACGGGTCCTCCTCCACGGCGCCAAACGGTCAGCCCAGCACTGAAGGGGAACAACACGTGGTCAGGGAGCAGCCCGCTTGGTCCTGGGGGGGGGGGGGGTCTTGGCTACAAAGCCCTTACCCGCAGAGCTTTGGGGAGAAGGGCGGACCTGGAACCCAGGAAACCTACAAAACAATCGCCCAAAGCATGAGAACTCCTACTCAGCCCTGGGGACCCAGCGGAACAGCAGCTGGCTCGGGGAAGCCCTCCCAGACCCCTGACCCCCCCCCTCCCCCCCCCCCCCCCCCCCCCCCCCCCCCCCCCCCCCCGCCCTCCCTCCGCACACCCCAGCTCCCGGCCGCTGCAGGGCCCGTGGATTTCCTCCTCAGTCCGCCACGCAGCGCTCGGCGTGGGTCCCCGGGGCCTGGCCTGGGCACCCCGGGTCACCCCCACAGCCAGTGGGGGGCTGGGCGGGGGGGGGCTCGGGGAATACGGGCTGAATTCGTGCGGATGCCTCCGACAAAGCAAAGCATTAAAGCCCGAGGCCACAGCATCGCAGGGCCGGGGCGGCC